GTTATTTAAGGAAAGGGTTTGACAGTACACGGTTGTGAAAATTAAGGAAAAGAAATCAATTGACAGCCAAGCAATCATGAGTCGAAAATTTTGCATGAATGAACCAAGTCAGAAAAAAGGTAAAGAGAGGCTCTTAATTAAAAAGAAGCAGTAACTATCAATTAACCCCAAAAAAAGGATTCTGATTCAATCACAAGTTGGAAAGCCTTTTGAAGAAAGGTTCATCACATATAAAAACATGCAGACACGTTTAAACATTGAAAGAACTGTCATGCTATCCAGAAAAAGTCTAGTATAGAAGAGTCCAGAGTCATACACAAAAGGGTTCGAATTTAATACATGGATCCAAAGTGAGTTTGAGAGAGTCTAAGGCTCAAACAGAACCCTGGTCTAAACACACAAGACCAAACTCGCCAAAAACCCCAAAATCCTAGGGTTTTGACTTGAATCAGATGCAAAGAAGACAAAAATGAGGGAACAAGCAAATACAGTAGAAAGTTCGAAGTAAACAGAGTAAGGAACTTAATTCGAAACATAATGAGAGCAAAAGAAACAGTAGAGGAAAACATGTTTAAGCAGGTATTCTAGAGGAAACTTAAAAGGTAAAAAAAATAATAAGAACACTTAATGAACACGGTAGGAAAATACAGTATGCGAGATCATAGTGGAAGGCAAATAGCCGAACATAGTGGGAAAGCATGTGAAAACATAGCATAGAAACATGGTAGAAGGAAGAACAAAATATAGCAAACATAGTAGAAGAACATGTGTAAAAAAAAAGAACATAAGAACATAATAGAGACAAACATACACAAAGAAAGGGAAAAGAAAAGTCGGAAAAACACTTAAGCATTTTTCAGAAACCCTAAATCAGAAAGAAGTGACTTTGAAAGTAAAAAAATTTAAAAGAAAAGTTGGGGAAATCCTTCAAGAACTCAAAATAGAGCATGAATACACACAGATCTGAGGAGAATCGGAGAAAAACCTCGAACAGATAGGGTTTCAGGTGAACCCTAGAATGAGAAAGGCTTGGAAAAGGTCCGATCTAAGTCGGATAAGGCTGGACACAGTCTCAAGAGGCTAAGATATGCCGGAGCCAGGCCGGAGATGGCCGGAAATCTCAAGTCGGCGGAGATCTGAGTGGAGACCTTTGTGGTCTAGCCTCAAACCTTCGAGTACCAGGCATATAGGAGCAATGGGGGGGTGAGTATGAGGTTTCCATGGCCTGAGAAGCCATGGATTCCGGCGAGAATCAAAGGGATTAGGGTTAGTTTGGGTGGCGGCGACTAGGGTTTGCAGAGAGAATGGGAGAGGAAGGGGATTCAAGGGCGGCGGGTAGAGGGAAATGAATTTAGGGTTGGGGTGTTGGTAGATTAAAAATGGAAAGGGTGCGTGTGAGCCGTTGATCTTTTAGATCA